TAATTTTTTCTGCTATTCACATGCGCACAGTTCGTATTTGTTTGAAAGTGAGACGTGGAGTATAAGTATGAGCTAGTTTGCTGAGTTTAAGTTGTTGGTTTACGAGATTTTGTTTTCGTGACAGGTGAAATAATGGCGGTGAACGATGAAGTATTTTCAACACTTCAAGATTGTAGTGCTGTACAGATTTTGAAGTTTTCTTTATCAGATGCATAGAGTTTATAGATAGTTCACGTGAGCAGTGTGTAATAAATGGTTTTGTCTCATTGAGTTCAGATGCATGTGATTTTTTTTCAGGGGTGCATAAATGTTGGCTTTGGGAATCTTTGGGATCAGGCATGCAAACTCACTGTCTATTTTGTGTATATATATATGAGCATAGGATGTAGATGTTTTTTTCGTGGTTTAGAGATGGAGTATACTCATAATCGTTTTGCAGTATTACGTGATTTGCATCCTGATGTTGAAGTCATGTTCAATCGATTGTCATTAGCTGGTGTGGTGGGGTCTTTGCCTGGCCATAATGGAGATACCACCTGTTTGAATAGTTCTAACAGGGCCTTGGCAAATAATATTTTGCTGCGGAATGAGATATATGACTTGTTTAAGAGTTTTTATCGAAGATCTGAGAGGATTGCCGTGTTGGATGAAGTTTTGGGAGATATTGGAGAATTTCCTTTTCTTCAGATAATTGCTCACCGCATGCAAGTTGAGGTCGAAGAACAGAAGAAAGCTGCTGAGAGTGCTATGATTTAGTGGTTTTCTGGGCTTTTTTTGTGTTTCATATGTACTAATTATTATGTGAAGATGTTGGGGCCATTAGTTTGTGGCTTGCACTATGTTGAAGGATTTGGATCTGTGTATTTTGTTTTGGTACTTTGATATAATGTAAGTGTTTGTGTAATAAATTTACCATATTAGATGTTGTGATTGTGTTATTGAATTGGAGTTTAGATATAATGAAAGTATATGAGGTTCGTATCTAGTTACTGGTTATAAGTCTATAATCACAGGTTAATTATTTCGAGAAATGAGCTGACCATTTTTTAACAGTAACGTGAAATAGTATTCATCAATTACATGGTATTTCAAAATCATAGTTAGACATCTGATTTCATTTTCAGCACTTCAAAAGCACAGCTACATATCTGATGATGCTATACAAAATGTTCAAAAACATAATTGGAGCTGTGGTTTAGAGTAGGGTAGACTAATTCCCTGGCGTAGACCTTTTAGCAAGGCACAAACGATAGCCTATGTACATTGATGGAGATGGCAGTTCATCAGATGTTCAAAAGGTTGGTCAAAAGCTTTGATGCAGATAGTTTGGAGTAGGGTAGACTAATGCCTTGGTGTAGACCTTTTAGCAACCCACAAACGATAGCCTATGTACACTGATGGAGATGGCAGTTCATCAGATGTTCAAAAGGTTGGTCAAAAGCATAGATGCATATACTATATCTACAGCTCCATGTCAGTCGGGTCAGTGCGTTGTTTCTTAGTTGGAGTTTCTGTGATTTTGAGTGTTGTGAACAAATTGCTGTCCAAATTTGTTGCTCCCCTGTAACTTTGAGCAGTTGCATTGAGAATTGTTGAACTGGTGGTCAAGTTCGATGATTCTGGAGCTGTAAGTGGATTTGTAGAAGGAGTGGAAGTTGAAGCTGAATTTCTAGAAGTGCTTGATATTAGTTCTGCAGCATTTGCTTTGTGCACTATGATAGCTGCGTATTTTTCTGTGTCGGCAGGTCCACGATTTCCAGTCATTTTTTTCACGAAGCAGGTGAGGATACTACTCTCAATAGCCTGTTCAATAGCTGTGTAATCAAGCTGATGCTGCAATATTTGTGTTTGAGTATTAGTCTATACAATGTATATGAGTTTATGTTTAACTGGAGGTTGGTAAGTTTTGCATATGAATGTATACTGACCTTGCCTTCGAGTTCTTGAATCTGTGGCAGTGTGAAGGGCAGTAGTTGCTGTGCATCATTGTCATACAAATCAAGTGTGAGGTTTCCAGAGTAATCAGCCAGCTCTATGGTTAACCTACTCCTGTAATTGTTGTTGGTAATTAGTGAAACAATGTTTATTGAAGTAGTTTGTGAAGTTGCTGTTGTGATGGTTACCTTGGAAGAATGTTAACATTCTTGTTGCAGGAAGTGCAAATAATCTTCCATTGAGGTTTAGCTCTGAAGGATTTGTGACAGTTTGAGCATGCATTATACCATAGCCGTTGGCTTTTGTCAAGGAATCGTGGGCTTCCTTGAATCCAATAAGCTTTTTTCTGAGAAGAAATAAGACTCTAAGTTGCCTAATTTGGTAGATAAGTGAATGAGCCAAGAAGTTAGATTTCTGAAAGTTCCAGAAGCTCACCATTGGTAAATTCAGGAACTCTTTGATAGTGCAGAGCTCATCTTCTGTAGGTTGTGGTAGTAGGCTGGTTCGGTTTAGGTATGCTCTCTGTGTTATGAGGTCATTGATCTGTGTTTTGTTTTCCATAGCCCTTGTGAGCAGATATCAATTGTTAGTTATAAGAATATTGCAAATACTCTGTTATAACATATCGGAGGACAGTTTAATTGAAGCAAGCGCCTACCATTGCCTCAACATTGAACCTTGTTGTATTGGGGGGTTCACCAAAACACTTGAGCCAAACTTTGTTGAGAGATTTAGAGCTGCAGTTTTATGTAATTGAAGATGATATTAATATTCTAAGATGTGGTGAAGTATATGAATGGTGGATTTGTGATATTTTGAGCTATACTTACTGTGGTATGATGAAACTCTCAGTCGAAGGCCAACAATGAGTGGCATTGATTGAATCATGTTGGCAATTGCTTGGCCTTCATTTGTCTCGTGATCACCCCAGAGAGTTAGGATGACTGGCATGAAGCTGCAATGTATTTGATTAGATGTCTAAAATTAGTTTTTTTATATCTATCTATTGAATTTGGTGGCACAATCTATATAGACTGATTACTCTCTTTACAATAATGATTACCTTTTGTCTATGATTACAATCTCTCTAGTTGGGGTAGTGCCTTTGTGAAATCGTTGATGGACCTCTGCGACAATGCCAAGTATATCTGTTCTTTGCATTCATCAAGGAGAAATTAATTAGCAGTTTTTCAAATATGAGATAGTTATATATCTGAGTTTTGCATATTACCTATGTCTGACGTATCATCAATGTGTTGGTAGAATCTTCTGAAAGGAGTGAATCTGAAAACAGGAGGAATTTCTGGGGGATTTGGTTCATCCATTGCCTGGACAACAGTGGAGTTGTCAATATACCAAGTACATTGATTTTCACGTACACGATATTCCAGTGGAGTATATTCAACTCTTGCATTGGACAGCATGTAACGCATATACAGGCGAAAGTGGTTGCGAAAGAATTCTATGTCTGATTTGTATATCATAGCCTCCACTGTGGTGCCCTGTACAAAAGGTTTGGTTCCATTCAAATGTGAGATGTATTTTGAGGTGTAGTAAGAATTCAGGAAGTTTTGTAGTGTATTTACCTGCCCATCAATGAGTGTAAGCTTCTGATAGCGATTTCCTGCTTTTGATAGGAGCGGCTTCTGTTTGTCAAGAACCTGAACTATTGTTGTCCAATCTCGAAGTCCAGGAATAATTTCAGCAAATGCTATGACTTTTCTGTCTTCCTGTAACTTGAAAGAATAATTGGTGGATGATTTTGTGAAAAAAAATATAGAAACAGAATACAGATAATATAATAGAGTGGCACGTGTGTGAGTGAGCAAATCATTCATGTGCTAAATCGAGGACCTCTTTATACACTACATTATTTGTTATTGAGTCTTGTTCAGGATCAAATATAGGTGGTTTGATGAGCATTTTAATTGAGTTTTTATTTTTTGCTCTGGACATTGCCACATATAGCTGTCCATGTGAGAAAACTGGTTCACGTAAGTATATTCCCACAAAATCCAACGTCTGGCCTTGAGCTTTGTTAATAGTCATTGCGAAACAGGGTCGAACAGGAAACTGGATGCGTTCAAAAGATACTGGAGAGTCTGGATTGGTCTCAATTCTGAAGCATATTCGATGGAGAAAGACCTCTTTCCCAGTGAACTCTCCACAACTTATTACTGCATGTATAATGTTAGAGTTTAAAGATTTGCAGATGAGCCTCGTTCCATTGCACAATCCTTGGGGGGGATCAATGTTTCTGAGCAACATAATTGGACAATGTGGTTTGAGGAGCAGCCTGTGAGGAGGAAATCCATTGGGTGTTAAGGCATTCACGAAATCCTCCATGATTGTCTGTTCAGAATCGTCAATGCATTTGTCCCTACTGATGTATTCTTGGACCTGTCCAGGTAATTGATGTATGATTTTCTGGTTGATGTCATCAACAAATTCGTTCTTTGTTGTAAGTATAGCACGGTTCACGGCTGAAAAATCATCATGGAAGAATGCCATTAAATCCGGGAATACAGCCTTACTGAGCTCTGTGATGGAATCTTCGTCATTTGTGTATCTTATCAGCAATGCAGTATGTATTTGGATAGAGTTGTTATTGATAACAGGCTCTGTTCCATTTCCAATACGGAGTAGATATTCAATGAACTCAGGATCATGTCTTGCTCTCATATTCTCTGTCAGGTGAAGTTTATGAAGTTGTGGCCATATATATGAATTTACTATGGAAGCATCAATAAAATCCACTTTTGTGCCTTTAGTAACAACCGGTAATACCTGACGAAAATCTCCTCCAAAGACAATTACCTTTGATCCAAATAAGTCATTGCAGTCCATTAAATCTTGGAGTAATCTATCAACAGCTTCTATTGAGATTTTATTCATCATTGGAGCTTCATCCCAAATTATAAGGCTGGCTGATTTTAGAAGTTGTGCTGATGAACTTTGTTTGCTGATTCTGCAGTTGGTATTTTTGGTTGTATCTAATGGTATGTTGAATCTTGAGTGAGATGTTCTTCAACCAGGTAATATTGAAGCTGCTACTCCACATGATGTTGTAGCAAGTGCTATGAATCCTTTTGATCTCACTTCAGCTAAGAGTGCTCGATAGAGAAATGTTTTGCCTGTTCCGCCTGGGCCATCAATAAAAAAACAACCCTTCTTTATTTTGAACACTGCATCGATAATTATATCAAAAGCAATTTTTTGGTCACAGTTTAGTTGATAAATTGCTTGGAGATCAGATTCTTGGACAGTGATTGTTGTTTCTGCTGTTGTGTCTCTTGTGTTCTTGTTCATATGATTAAAGTTTAGAGCATGTGGAACCAGAGCATATGAGTTGATGTCTTTTCCCATTGATTGCAAAAAATTATTTATCTGTTCAAGTACTTTGTATCGTATTTGATCAGGTGTAAATTCTGACATTCTTATGAAATCTTCTGATAAAGAATATTCAAATTTTTTCCAAAGGTATCTACTATCTGATGGAGGAAAGTGTACCAGGAGAGTTGCAAATAGCCTTCTCAGTATGTATGGCATCTGGTACGAGCTAGCTTCTTCAAGACATTGCTCCTGCGACGTATCTGATTCAAAATAGCCTCTAAGGATAGCTGCATCACGGAATGTACTGATATATTTTCCATTGATTGTCTTGAGGTCATCGAATGATGTTGGAGCTCTAACATGTGTTAGGAGTAATCTAAGAAAGTAACGTTCTCCTTCTCCTATGCTTGCTGCGACAATTCTACCAATAGAATGCTTTTGTTTTCTGGGTTCCCATTTCTTCTTGCCAGGGTACCAAACGAAGTGTTCTGGGAATTCTTTGTACGTGCACTTAAGATGCTGAGCCAGTTTGTCCACTGAATTCATATAGAAGAATTCTGTTAACATGGTTCTTTTTGCATGCCTATTCCTCACCACATCTCGAAGGTCCTGATCGGGTGTGAAATTCATTGCTTGGAAATTTTCTAAGTGGAGCTGGAGGTGAATGACAGAAGGATGGATTTCACTTAGCTGGAATCTGAAGATTCTCCAAGTTGCCTCTACTGCACATACCCATCTAGCCGACTGGAATTCCCTTATTTCATCAATTGCAGATGGTTGGATGTTAGAATCTGGTCGATCAGAAGCATCTGAATTTACTCTAAAACGTATTCTGTCATGCCCCTTATATATATACTTGTATATATACTTCACGGCTTTCACTGTGGAGCAAATTTCTACATTTATATGACAGTCAAATTTTGCTAACAGATATCCATTGTATGGAACTACCCATCTATTATCCAACTCATGTCCGCGAACTATTATTTTCTTTCCATCTTTCCTTCTGCGATAAGTGGGATATGTATTCTCTCCATGGAAGGTTGTATCAGCAAATGGCTTTGGGTAATTATTTTTGCACTTCTTCTTCTGATTTCCTTGCATACAAACATTATCTGGATTTTGTTTTCCGCAAGGACCATGGATCATATGCTTTCGGACCATATTAAATAAATGTCGATTGGGCATCTTATCAGGAATTTCTGCACTCACAATGTTATCATAAGATTCTGTGGAGTAGAGCTTGGACCCTGCTTTCAAGATTATGAGAAAATGAGCATGGGGCAGACCACGTTTTTGAAACTCAACTACATAGGTATAGGCAGCTACTGGTCCAAAGATTTCTTTTCTGAAGAGTTCTTCTTTGAGAAGATCAAGTTTAGCATGGAAAATCCGAGCTAATAAGTCTGGTCGGGTTAATTCCACTTTGTCCCCTCAAACTTTGGGCGATTACCCACTTCAGTCCCTTAACTTCAAAATGGGACACTTAAATCCCTAAACTTATGAATTGCTCCCAGTTAAGGAAAATTGTTGACAGAATCCTGATTGCCGTTGGTGGTCGAAGTGCGTGGCAAACACTCTCCGTTAATGAAGATGGGGGAATATTGTTACTGAAAATGATAAGGACATAAACGTAAATTTGGGTCGTAAATTAAGGACAAACAAAGACAAATTCCAGAGAAGGGAAAGTGCGAAACAGTCAGAGAGTGGTCGTTTCTTTCCTCTGTCTTGGATGAAAAAATAGAGAGGAGGGGTAAAACCAAAGTGTGTAAAAATCCGAATGATTGTTGCTGAAAAACACTGAAGATTGCAAGAATGGGAAGAAAGCGAGTCAATGTGAGAGAAAAAGCGTCCGCGTCCGCAGCGAAACAATGGAAAGCAAAAGAGAAGACAAGTACTGGTATGAGAAAAATATTTTAGAGTTTTTTGTGTACTTTAATTGAATTTAATAATTGGAATTTGGGTAAGAATTTACGGTAGCAGTAGAAAAACGTTTTAAAGCCATAAGGATTGTTGAAAAGTTAGGGTTTTGGATGGTTGTGGAATGCATGTCCAAGGCATTATATATTTTTGATGGTACTGTTAGTGGGTCTGCATATTTTACTGAAAAGTGAGTGTTGTGGGAACCCTAATGTTCCTTCTGTTGAAGACATTGTGGTCCCAAATGCTAAAAATGTTGTTAATAATTAATGGGTTAATTATTAAAGATTTATTTTTTTATTTAACCAGAGTGTGGTCCAAATGACATTTTGCCCAACTCATTTTCCTTGGCGATACACCATCAGGGTGAGTTCAGAAGCTCTCCCAGCAAAGAATACGTGGGAGGAAGGGTAGACTATATAAACAACTGTAATGCTGAAAAATGGTCACTACAAGTGCTTGATGAATGTGCAGTAAGACTAGGATACCCGAAAGATGCTCGTTTTGGGTGGTATGGTAGGATTCCTGGTATGCCGCTTGAGACTGGACTATATTTTTGCATGTGTGATTGGGATTGTGATCTTCTAGTAAACACATTGCCACTGAATAGAGTGGCAGAGGTTTATCTACAAGTTGGCACTGATGATAATCCAGTGAGGTTTCAAACTCAAAAAACAGAGTATGTAGACATGCCTGAAGGCCACAAAACTTCTGCTAAGCAGGATACAAAAGATAAAGAAACATCTGAAATGGACAGTGACATAGCAATACTGGAAGAAGTTGACTTCAATGATATGGACAACAGAAGGAAAAATGTGGCTGATGACAACAGTAATGAAGTTGCTACAAACAGTCATGAGAATTTTGATTCCAAAAGTCCTAATTTGCAACAAGAAGAGGACAACAAGAGAGATAATGCAGGGGAAGAAGCACAAATGGCAACTGATAATGATATCCAAGCTGATGAGACTGATGTGCAGGCTGATAATAATGTGCAGGCTAATGATGATATGCAGGCTGACGACAAGTTCGATGATCCAGATTATACGGGGCAAGTTGAGAAGGATGTTTTATTTGATGAAGCCTTAAAGATTGGACAACAATTTGGCGTGCATAAAGGAGCTCCTGAAGTTGGACCTTCTACCAGCAAAGACAGAAGAAAGAAGAGAGCAAGTAGGGAAGGAGAAGCTGTTGACGAAGTAAATATTTGTGATGAGCCTGACATGGTTAATGTGGAGGATATGCAGTTAGAATATGAAACAGATTGTTCTAGAGAGTTGAAGAGTGAGAGTGAATCCGAAGACGAAGATGGTCGTAAGAGAAATAAGAAGCCTAAATTTTCAGTTTTTAATGAGAAAACTGAAATGAGAAGTCCAAGATTTAAGGTAGGCCAGAGGTTTTCATCAGTTGTTATTTTTAGGTTGGCTGTTAGAATCCAGGCTATTATGGAGGGAAGGGATGTCCAATTCATAAAAAATGACACATATAGGGTACGGGTGAAATGCAGAGGCTGTGAATGGCAACTTTTTGGCTCAAAAATGCAAGGTGAAAACACTTTCCAGATCAAGACACTTAGCAAGGAGCACACCTGTGGACGTGTCTTCCATAATAGAAACATGACATCAAAACTAGCTACCAGGTTGTTTGTAGATGAGGTGAGAAAAACACCATCCATGACAGTCCAGGAGCTCATGACTAGGGTGACTGAAGAATTAAATGTAGATTTCAGTCTTAAACAAGGCTATAGGACAATGAAAAAAGTAAGAGACATAATTGAAGGCAGTCATGAAAAACAGTATGCATTGTTAGAGGACTTCTGTGGTGAATTGAGGAGAGCAAATCCTGGATCGACAGTGTTCGTTGAGACGGATGAGGATGAGGATGGGATTGTCAGATTCAAAAGGCTTTACATGTGCTTAGAGCCATTGAAGAGAGGATTTCTAAAGGGCTGTAGGCATTGGATTGGGTTGGATGGGTGCTTCTTAAAGGATACATATGGTGGACAACTACTTACAGCCGTGGGTATGGATGGGGATAATAAAATGTTTCCACTAGCTTTGTCAGTTGTTAGAGTGGAAAATTATGACAATTGGAGCTGGTTTTTGGGATTGCTTGTACAAGATTTGGAAATATCAGATTCCAGTAATTGGTGTGTCATGACTGACAAGCAAAAGGTATGATAAATTGTATTAGCACTTATTTATACATCAACTTTTTATTTAATAACTCAGGTACAACTTTTTATTTAAGCCAAGTTGTATTCAAACGTGTACAGGGACTAGTTCAGGCAGTTAGAGACAAAATGCCACAAGCTGAGCACAGGTGTTGTGTGCAACATCTATACACCAATTTCAAACAGATTCATAGAGGCCTGGCCTTAAAAGAAAGACTTTGGAAATGCGCAAAAGCTTCTTATGTTACCCACTGGAAAGTCAAAATGGAACAGTTGGGGCAAGAATCTGCAGCTGCGCATTCTTGGCTTGATGAAAAAGATCCCAAAACTTGGTGTAGAGCCCATTTTAGATGTGGATTGGATTGTGATATTTTGGTGAATAATATGTGTGAGTCCTTTAATGCAGTAATTTTAAAGGCCAGGTCACTACCAATCATATCCATGCTGCAGACCATTTATTTGTACCTGCTGAAGAGGATGGAGAGGAACAGGGAAGCAATGTCCAAGCACGAAGGTTAAGACACATTTTATTTATTTACTAGTATTAAGGTCAGTTCATAATTTCTTTGAGAAATTTATGACCAATTTATTGTTTTCATTTTGTATTCAGGTCTTCTTTGTCCAGCAATATTTGAGATATTGGAAAAGGCTAAGCAAGAGCAGTGTATGTGCATAGCGTCATATGCTGGGACAATGAAGTATCAGATAAGCTGTCCATTTGGGGAGCAGTATATCGTTGACATGGCTGCCAAAACCTGTTCATGTAGAAAGTGGCAATTAAGGGGAATACCATGTGGCCATGCTGTAGCTGCCATCAACAAGAGACATGAAGCACCAGAGAAGCATGTTTCCAACACCTACTTGAAGATCACGTATCTACAAAGTTATGAACCTGTACTTAATCCAATCAATGGTCCTAATTTGTGGGAGCACATAGACCTTCCAGCAATGAAGCCTCCGACTTATAGAAGATTTGCTGGAAGGCCAAAGAAAATGAGAAAAAAGGCTTCAGAAGAAGACAGACGGGACAGCTGTGTCAATCCAACTAAACCTCACAAGGTTAGCAAGGTTGGCACCATGATGAGCTGCAGCCGCTGCAAAAAATACGGACATAACAAAAGAGGATGTCCGGATAAAAATAAGCAAACCACTGAGGGGACAACTACAAGTTCAGCAAAGGAGAACAGTGATATTGGAGATACAGGCCCATCTATGCAGCCAAGTACTAACGAGGCTTGTCCAAGTGATGTGACCGTTGACATACTTGGAGTAAGTACGCAACAGAGTCACACAGGTCCATCTCAAAATTTGGATGCCAATCAGCCAAAACAAGGGGCACAAGAACCAGTGACAAAGAAAGGAAGAAAATGCTCATTTTGTCGTAAGCATGGTCACTCAAAGAATAGTTGTAAGTTGAGGCAATGGACCTTTAGGAGCTCACTGGACATGACTGGAGACTTGGGATTCAAAACTGTAAAAATACGGTCTGATGATCTGGAAAACCCATATAATCATGCTCAAAATAGTTCTGGGCATGTGGAAAAGAATCCTACAACAACTCATGTAAGTGGTCTCCATACATCAGGTCTTTATTTATGGGTGTCATGTCTTATTGATTCATGTTATGTGCTTGTTTGCAGTTAAGCTCCAAAGCTGATGGTCGCAAACTTTATTCCCACAGCCACGGAGTAACGATGAGAGCACCACACTCATACGTGGACTTGGGGACAGCCTCTCATTCCAGCAGTGGACTTAAGCAAGCACAATTCACATGGCAAGGCAATTTGTGTGTTAACCTGTCTACATTACAGACAGCTGCGGGACATGCGAAGGAGTCACTTGGAATTGAAAATGTGCAGCTCCATGGGGATGGAAACCAATCTGTTAAGTTGGGAAAATTGCAGCAATAGGCCAAATAGCCTTCAAGCATGAACTAACTGATGCTGGACAAACCAACTCAAGAATTGTACAGGCATATAGCCTTTTTTATTTTGCAGATACAATCAAATTGGGCAGTAAAAGCCTCTGTTTTGCTAGTCCAGATGTGGCGAACTTTTGTTCAACTCATATAGTCCATTGGAACTAAGAATTTTTTTGTTAATATGGAATTTTTGTTAGCCTCTGTTTTTGGTAGCCTCTGTTGTGGAACTCATATAGCCTTTGTCTTGCTAGTCCAGATGGGTGAAATTCAGAGGCTGTTAATGTGGAATTTTTGTCATTCCTGGTATTGCTATTATGTATTGGATGATTTGTTGAATGATCAAAGGTTTTTGCTGAAAATTTTATGTTCTGAGTTGATTGCTGTTGTTAATGTGACATAGATTACTTGCAATAAACTTTACAAATTGGGACACTAAAATCCCTAAACAACAAATTCTGATTACATAGCAGGTCCAACGTTCACAATTATGGGACATAGCAGGTCCACTATATCCCTAAATTTGATACAATACATTTAAAACCCATCTACCACCACTCAGGTCATTTCACAAATACATTCATCAGACAAAGCTTTCACCAGTCACAAAAATTCAAAACAATGTGGTACATGTTCACAAGCAAGATGGTTAAAATCCCGACTGTATAATAACGCTAAAACCCGCAAGCGGGATTCTGTGTTTTTCCTACTTCAACGTTACCTCGCATGCGGGTTAATGTTATATTTTATGGCGAGAAGAAAAAATTGGTAATTAGGCTTTTTGGGCATTATAAGTAAATATTTAAATTAATGACCATTAAAAAAAAGGGTTGTATAAATTGGCAGTTAAGTTTTCAAAATGAATTTGGACGAATTTGTAAAAAGTTAGAAGAAATAGGTTGTAAACGAGTAATTGGGTTGCCAAACTCGTTTTCTGACTTGTCCATTGAACTACATTTACTCATATCGCCCAAGAATAGATGGGTATGGGAATCATAAAATTTTACTTATGGATATAAATAATTGGGTAACGCAACCGACCCAATTAACCCATCTACCACCACTCAGGTTATTTCACAAATACATTCATCAGAAAAAGCTTTCCACCTGTCACAAAAATTCAAAGCAATGTGGTACATGTTTACAAGCAAGCAGGTTAACATCCCGTCTGCATAAGAACGCTGAAACCCCCAAGCGGCATTCTGTTCCTTTCCTATTTCAACGTAAGATCGCATGTGGGTTAATGTTATATTTGATGGCGAGAAGAAAAAATTGCTAATTAGGCTTTTTGGGTATTATAAGTAAATAATTAAATTAATGACAGTTAAAAAAAAGGGTTGTATAAATTGGCAGTTAAGTTTTCAAAATGAATTTAGACGAATTTGTAAAAAATTAGAATAAATGGGTTGTAAACGAGTAATTGGGTTGCCAAACTCGTTTTCTGACTTGTCCATTGAACTACATTTACCCATACCGCCCAGGAATAGATGGGTATGGGAATCATAAAATTTTTCTTATGGATAAAAATAATTGGTTAACGCAACCGACCCAATTAACCCATCTACCACCACTCAGGTCATTTCACAAATACATTCATCAGACAAAGCTTTTGTCCTGTCACAAAAATTCAAAGCAATGTGGTACTTGTTCACAAGCAAGCAGGTTAAAATCCCGCATGCGGGTTAATGTAATATTTGATGGCGAGAAGAAAAAATTGGTAATTAAGCTTTTTGGGCATTATAAGTAAATATTTAAATTAATGACAGTTAAAAAAAAGGGTTGTATAAATTGGCAATTAAGTTTTCAAAATTAATTTAGACGAATTTGTAAAAAGTTAGAATAAATAGGTTGTAAACGAGCAATTGGGTTGTCAAACTCGTTTTTTGACATTTCCATTGAACTACATTTACCCATACCGGCCATGAATAGATGGGTATGCGAATCTTAAAATTTTACTTATGGATATAAATAATTGGGTAACGCGACCGACCCAATTAACCCATCTACCACCACTCAGGTCATTTCACAAATACATTCATCAGACAAAACTTTCACCTGTCACAAAAATTCAAAGCAATGTGGCACATGTTCACAAGCAAGATGGTTAACATCCCGACAGCATAAAACGCTGAAACCCGCAAGCGGGATTCTGAAAGTGCTGGTAATTACATAGTCAGCAAAAGCAAGAATTTCCTTCCTGCACCACTCAAAAGGTCCACTACTTAGCAATGACAGACAAAGGTGGTCCCATATTTGAGCAAACAAAACGGGCAGTCCGGCATAAGCGGTTGCTTCTTCTACAACTCATTTTGGACCTTCTCCCCCAGATTTGAAAAAAACAACCACATGACAATGGCAACCCAGTGGATAATCAAGTACATCCTTAGCTTCCTTACTTTCGATTGTTGGCACCTTGAATTTTCTTTCAACCTATCCAACTCAGCTTCCATCTTGTTCATCGACCTTAGCAGTCCAGGTATTATTTCTTTTGACCTTTGACACATCTCAGGATCAACCCAATCCCAGTATATGCAGCCTCCTTGTTCCTAGTTTGACAAGAACATTATGTTTGCAGACAAGATTAGGTGGCTGCAATTCATACAAACCCAAAATAAAAAACAAGTATAAACACAAAACCCTAATTTCCCTTACTCTGTACTTGGCACATCGACAAAACCTTCTTCCTGGGTTCATGGCAGTCCATGATGTCATCATCAATGTTTGCTTTCCACAATCACAAAATTGCCTCACCATTTCTCTTTGTTTGTTGAACCATGCGTTGGGTTCTCCTTTTCTTCTTCCTGCCCTGTGGATAGCAGAATGACAGCTTGGGTCTCTCAGCATACCGACCTGAAGTGCCCTTTTATGATTTGGATCGGGTCTACATTATCCATCTGAAGTGGGTAGCATGGAGGGAAACTTTCCCTCCATATTTCACCATTTTTTTTTAATCTATATATGTGATTTTTTGTGAATTTTCATTGTTGCCCTCAGTCAAAGGACAGTGTTTGCCACGCTCTTCAACCACCAACGGCAATCAGGATTCTGTCAACAATTTTCCTTAACTGGGAGCAATTCATAAGTTTAGGGATTTAAGTGTCCCATTTTGAAGTTAAGGGACTGAAGTGGGTAATCGCCCAAAGTTTGAGGGGACAAAGTGGAATTAACCCAGTCTGGTCTGTTATGAGCCTCATCAGTAGGAAGCATATGTTGTTTGATCTCAGGCCATGAAGGGTTGCAGGTCATTGTAATGAACAGATCTGGTTTGCCGAATTTTTGTACAAGAGCCATGGCGTCAACATATCTTCTCCTCATATCACGTGGACCACCTATAAATGAAGCTGGGAGGATTACTCGCTGCCCTACCCTTGATCCCTGGCAATGCCCTGCTACTACACTGTCCATTATACCTTGAAGCTGCTCTCTTCTTATTAATTCTTGTCGATTCTTGTAGTAATCAAGTCTCTGGGTTTCTATCTTTATATACATATCAATCACATATTGTTGTAGCAGTCTGCCAGTATTAAGTACACTTGGAGTATATTTTTCTCGCATCTGCAATTTATATGAATAATACTCACGCATTGATACAAACTCCTTATTGTTTTCCAGATCGTTACAACCTGCAATACAATTGTTCAATGTAAGCATCATAATATTTATAAGTATATACTGGAGAATATAATTCTAGATTATGATTCTATGCATACCTTGCTCCTCAGCATCTAGTAGCTCTTGTGCAGATCTGTAATTAGGAAAAGGAGTAGTGCAGCTAGCTTTTTTGTTGCATCTCTTTCTCTTCTTTGGATTTTCCATAGTTATCCTTCTTATACCAGGATGCCATCCAGTTTCTCCAAGCGGGAATAACAGTGGATACTGCAATGGATCATAGCATCCATAATAGTATTGTAACAGGTGGTCTTTACCCTCTTTTGTATAGATTTGAATATGTCTCGTGTATCCTTCTTTAAATTCCTGACCCTCCACCCATAAAGCTGCAATTTGAGATGCAGTTGGTTGGTTGAAGACCCTCTGATCATTTTCTGAATGGGATTTAAGTACTATCTGGTATGAGTCAAGATCTGGAACATGTTTTAAGCTTCGAAGAAAAGAAGCGTAAGGATTGGATTCCATCATATGCATAATTTTTTTTACTGTACTCTCTGTCAGCTTCTGTGATATAGCTAGTCTGTTTTCTAACTCATGGTCTGTGTCATGGAAATATAGCTGCAGATAGACGCCAGAACCTCCAGATGGAATCAGATCTTTGATGAAGTGATAAGTTTGTCCTTGGACTTTGAATGTGTAAATGCCATTAGTTCTTTTGCAGAGGGATTTATCATAATGCACTCCAAAAGAGGTGAAGCCAAACATGTTGTTGTATGTCCTGACATATGTTCTAAAAGAAGCAGCTTCATCAGACCGACCAGTATATAGTTCTATCAAAATATCCGGAAGTTTGTTTTGCTGGAGAACCACTTCACCATTAGAACAACAAAAATTTGGTGTTTCAGAATGGAACTTTTTTGCCTCACAGTAACTGCAATGTGGCTTTGAAGGCAACATGTCTGGTTCATCGTTAATGAATTTCAATGCTCCAATCCCATCTGGATTTGTTCTCCCTACAATACATTCAATGTAATTGTAACTATTGAACAGAAGAGTAGAGGTTTGGAACAGAACTCTACATGTACAATAAACTATATTCAAAATACCTTTTGGTCTCTTAGTTGTCTTATTAACGGTCTGAGTTTTTTCCAGCACTGATTTTGTGTTGGCTGTACATTTATTCAGAAGATTTTGTCAACGGTGAGAAGTAGACTGATGGTGTAGCAAGTATTACAATAATGAAACTTGGTGACAGAGGACAACCTAAACCTCCATTTTTGTTAGCAGTAGATCCTAGTAACTGTCGAGTAGCCTGATATCGTGTAACAAGTGATGACAGTTCTATAAAGAGGAACCCATCGTGTCACTTACAGTAAACAAACTGAATGTAATTTAAGAAGAAACAAAATATATGACGGTACTGAAGCATCAAATACCTGGAACTTGTTCAATACTCTCTGGAGAGAAGTTGTAGCAGCTCATACAGACAAATGAGTTAGCTGTAAGTTTAACATAAAGAATAAATGAATAAGTATGAAGAACCTGGTGGCCAGTTATATGTTCAAAAATACATTTCTATGGCCAATAAAATCTGGCAATATTTAATACAAAGTTAGGTAAAGTAGTGGTCCACCTGAAGTGTATGGAGTAGTATGATGTGAGCAGACATGCTTGTGGTTCGTGCCTGAAGAACTACCTGCAATTGAAGAATGTTAGAACAATACAATGGTATTTTGAAGCAACAGTTATGATAATGGTAGTAATACTTCTATAAAAGTAACAGGGATGAAGACCTTGTTCATAAGTGGAAAAGTGAGACACACTGTTCTTTAATTTTGATCCACCAGATTGACTGTTACATGCAGAGAGCTGAGGATTAGGAGAGGCAATTTTGGTGACATACGCATCAATTTTCTGAGCAGATGCATTTCCATGAAGATTTGGAGCTGCAATAGAGGGTAAACAGAAACTCAACATGCAGACAACAAAAAAAAAGAAAGGGTGAACGAAGCTTGCGAAACATACATGTGACACATCGACCATGTTCACTTAATTCTGACATTAATATCTTCGTCCGTGGCAACAGGTTATTGCATCGGTGGAAATAGCTACCATCAGCACAGTTGTTAGAAATAGCTAGTAAACCAGAGCCTGGAGTATCTGATGGTCTGGAAATCTGCTGAGATTGTTCAGCAAGTGGCTTGGACAAGAGTTTGCTTAACTTTCTTCTGTGATACGCATCTCTATTTTTCTTTCGATGAGCTTCTTTTTCTTCTACCGACAGAGCAGCAAATCTTTCTCTCTTTTTTCTATTCTTCTCAGATTTTTTCTCACGGACATTCAGAGCATTGTTAGGTGGATGTAACTTAGAGGAACTCATGTTGTCCGTATTATAATGGAAGAGATTTTTTATAATATAATTACACAGTGAATAAAGTAGGAGCTTGTTAAGCGTGATAAGCAGAAAATACTGATAGCAACAACAGCAAAAACGACCGACATAAACTATGGACTAACAGACCTGTTAATAAATCTAGCAAAACAATACCTCCATTGGTAGCTAAGGCAGACAGCAGTGCAGCAAATTTGTTGGAGAGCTGAATAAAAGATATTAAAGCAGTAACCGTAGAATTTCTGATAAACAAAGAAACCAGAGAGACGGAAGTTCAGAGAATACCTTGCGTGGGAATTGTTGTATTCAAAAGAACCGAGAACAAGGTTTACATGGAAGTCAAAGCTGAAGTATGCAGTCGATTTTGCATGAAGACTGTTTGTATCTTACAAGTCAATGAAAGAAATGGGAAATTACAAATATAACCAAGCGGTGCCATGCAATGATGCAGAAAACAGATACTGTCCAGAAGAATTTGGTAAACAGCAAAGGTAAATGGCCGACAATTAACAAAAGCTAAGCATGAATTGTAAGCAAGAGCTGAATGATACATGACACGTATGTTTTTGAAATGATGATAATGATAAGGAACCTGTGTGTCTACATAAATTTTCGTTCAATAGTTGAGCTAAATAATACGTAAAAAATTGTAAACAATGACACGTATGTTTTTAGATGACAAGGAACCTATGCACTTACCTAAATTTTCGTTGAAGTGAGTGGATTGTTTATTTATCTTAGATATATCTCTAAATATACATATATATATGTATATACAAAATGCCTTCAGCATACACAATGGTTTTTTTTACAAACGAAAAAAAATATATATATGTATATAATATAAAGGAATATTATACGTAGGATATATATATATAACTCTCTGAATTTCTTAAAAGTCGGGGCCCATAAGTGGCAGGAGCACAAAACACAATCCAGAAAATATGCAGTGCACTTGAAGCTCCACCTCAGGTACAACAGCTCTAGCAAAGGTTTCAGCACTCAAAAGTACAACACATGGAAGCAAAGTGGCACTTGAAAATAGCTGCACCGTAGAAACACAAAGTGCTTCTTATGTATATGTAAGGATGTAAGGAGATAATGAGATAAATTGCCTCAATTCACTTTATGAGTCTGGAAGTAGACAGGAGTCCAAGGACACTGGGGTTTTCATCGTGGGCTCCTCAGGTCGCTTTTATCACATTTTGTTTTCTCTGACTTGATACAATTGTCCGGCTAAAAACATTTTCTGCTAAAAAATAGAGAAGACTCTTCTTTTTCTCTAATCACCCATAACACTTTCTTTTTTGTGCCTTGTGTCTTGGGTATTGTTGTTGCATTTTTCTACTTGATTTAATTTGATAATTCAGTACAAAAAAAAAAAAGGCACAAATGTTCTTGCTTCAAATTTGAAATGTTGAGATATTTTTATTGTAACTTCAAATAAATTCGAAAAATTATAGTATTAGGTTTATGTGGTTGCCATGACAAATATTTCTAAAACAAAGAAGTTAAGAGTTTTTATGGCTCCCTCAAAAAACGAGAGAAAAAAAAAAAAAGAGTTGTTATGGCCAATGGATTGTGGGTAACCAATGTGAAAGAGTGATACAGCCCACTGGATCCATAAACTGGGCAGAACTACAACCAGGATGCAAGCAGCCTCGAATGATTAACTTGTGGATTTTCATAGACAACATATGGTTTTCAGGTTAATTTCACTTTACACCCTTTAACTAAACCTAAATTTCTATTGTAGTCCTTAAACTTAAAAATGAGACACTTTAGTTCCTAAATTATAAAATTTATCCGATTTAAGTGATATCGTTAAGGATGTGAGACAGATTTTATGCTTAAGTGGGTATACTTTCCTTACTTTGGGGACTAAATTGGAATAAATTTTATCCTTTAGGAACTAAAATGAATAAATTATATATTTTAGGGATTTAAGCACAATGAATTTTATAATTTAGGAACTAAAGTATTCCATTCTGAAGTTTAACGATCAAAGTGAGAACTTGGATATAGTTTACGGGGTGCAAAGTGAAATTAACCCTATTGTTTTTTGTTTCCCAAATCCTATGTAAATATAGTTTTTTTTTTTTTGCATTAAATAGAGTATCTAATTTTGGGGGAAAAGAAGTATCCAATTTTATGAACATGTTGACAATCATGGAAGGCGTGGATCTTATAATTTCTACCTAAGGTTTTGCCCTGCAAAGCAACAAAATAGCATCTTTGGATCCAAAATTTAGGTGATTTGAACAGAGTCAGCAACTTGACTTGAAATAATATTAAAGAAGCAGATGAAGGGAAATGGTTTATTGTCTTCTCAGGGCCAGAGTTGACTCCAAAAATATATTATGGTGGGCAGGTAATTTTGCAGGTTATTGCTGCTGTTTGCTAATAACGCCTTACTTAATCATTAGTAAAACAGAAATCTGATCCCATTTGGCTATCAATTCTAATGATGCTTTTTGTTTAATGGGATTATCCAACTAAACCGTAACTAATCACTAGGAATCCAAAGCTGGTTCTCTGTTTTTAAAGCTTTTTTTTTTTTTTTCAATTTCCAATTATTATTAACCAAAGGGAAACCCCAATTATAGTCACTGAGTTGATAAACAGAAGATTAAAGAAAATTATGGGTGAGGTGAAACTTTGAAAACAAGATTAATACCTTCGGATTATATCAAGTTATAACTAATTCCACCGTCATTGAATTCCTAAATTAAAATGATCAAGTGCTCTTTTTTTTTTTTTTTCCTTTTTCCATAGCACAACAACGTTCTTTCTTGCAAATTTTGCTAATTGAATTTAAATATCATTTTTTTAAATTTATTTAAATTGACCAAATTTTGCATCCCAAGAGGGCCAACTATTTAGGAACTGTGGTAAGTTGACTTCAATTTGATGAAGCTCACAAATGATGAGTTGACTCCTGTGAATTATTATGTGATTAGTTGATGCTATTGTCATTCCAATTTATTTATATAAAATTTTGCATGAGCATGCAGTCATGATCTTCTAAATCATCTTTTGCCTCAACCAAACAGGCACACACATGCATATACACCTGGGTACTGCGTTTCTTCAAATTTTCTTTAATCAGAAGGGCCAGTGGATGGTAAAGTTAGATGACTAACCTTAAAATTTTGCTATCCCACTAATTTGCCTGGCTTATTTTATTTGTTCAAAGTTTTTCCAAGTCTCTGATGGGTCACCTTCTTAGTCTTTTTGTACTAATCAAGAAGATGTTCTCTTAGATTTCCACTATACATTTAAAACTACACCATGACCTATGAGCTTGTGCCTCTGTGCTGCTTCCCTTGCAGTTATTCTGAATCACGTTGGCAGGGAGGGAAAGCAAAGTCAGGACAAATCAAGCTTTAGTGATCATAAAGTTGAAGAGATCACAAATATCTTAGCCAAAGCCAAAATGAATTTGTTTTCAAAGACTAAAGGTATAAAGTTGCTCTGAAAACAAAAAAAGGGTCGCGTGAATTTGTGTGTTTGGATGGGTTCTTATTTGTCGAAAATTATTTGATTCCGTAGTAAATATGCATTTCAATCTCCTTTTCATTTTCTTAATTATTTTTTTTTGTCTCATATATATCACAATTATTTAATCGTGAGACGAATTTTTTGCCTTTTTTTTGTAGTGGGAGTGTCAAAAATTGTTCAATCAGGAGCTAAATACACAGTTGTACGAAAGCAATCTGCACATTTTTGAGATAGTGCTAGAGGTAGATCTTGATAGATAAGCAGTAAAGGCAAATAAAGGCAAAGAAGAAGACAGAATCAAGCTCAAGGGCAGATCCAAGACAAGTAAAAAGCCTCCAAAGACCAGTGAATTAGAAAGCATACAAGTAAATGGCTGAGGATTTGCAATATTTGAGCTGAAACTAATGTGTCTTTATCAGTTAAAGAGTCAAAGTAGGTAAGGGAGTGATTGGCTCAATCAAAGTGGCGATGAGCTGGTTACTTACTCTCCAGGGGCCCCTACCACAACTTAGGCTGATGGCCTACCTTTCTTGACCCTGAAATCTATTACGTGTTTAGTATAAAATTTTCCACAGACTACATACGGCCAAACAGGACTTCCAAAAGGAGTTTACAAAGAGCTGTGCAAGGTTCAAAAAGTATATCCTAGAAGACAAACATGTAATGGATGTCTACGTTGAATAATCATCCAATGGTCTCCAAAGTGCTAAAGAAAACATGTTTAGATTAATGGCACCTCCCACCCCTTTTTAGATTTTGAAGAACTTTCTTGGATTTATATGTAATTTCCTAAGTGTTGGGCAGAAAGTGCTAATTGATGACTTTAAGAAACTTAAGTCACCACTTCTTTTATGAAATGAGAAAATGCCAAATGCAAATCTGGAATCATAACCGGGCAACTTCGGCAGCTTCTTTCCTATGTTTTTTTATTTGAGGAACAAAGAGTTTGGATAGATTCGAGCTCTGGTCACCATCATATGTTAGGATATGTCTTCGGATCATAGGTCACTTACAATAATTTTTACAGATCATTCACTAATACAATTCTTATATCGACAACGGAATTCGAATCCATAACTTTTTGTGAGGAAATGATTCGTTTTTGCCAACTAAGCCAACACAAATTTTTACAGATCGTTCACTAATATAGTCCTCACATCGACAATAAAATTCAAACACACGACTTTTTGTGAAAAAGTGATCAATTTTTATTACCAACTGAGCCAACTTGTGTCGGTGATTCTTTCCTATGTGAACCATCTAAACTAAACCAAACGTCCTTTGTCGTAAGTAATTACATTAAACCAATAATTTGGTTATGTAAAATTCCAGAAGAACTTCATATACAGCAAACCAATTTTTTCACCTTTCTTTTTCTCAAAGCTCCTAGTGCAATTCATTCAATATAAGTGACCAAGATCTGATAAGTTATATATGTACAGTTAATACAGCAGTAAAATGTCGAAACACGTATGGATATTGACTCCAAATCCACCAAAAGATGTACAAGTAAAGTCCAACACTAGTGGGCAAAACCGATTACATGGATAATGCATTTGGAGAAATCCATTCTCTTTTTTGGTGCTAAGAGAAATCAATTCATATTCAGCATAAAAAAAAATCAAATCTATCACCAATCTTTCAGACGTTGTCTGAGAGCTACCCTGTAAAACAGTGCACTCATCACATCTATCATCATTTTACCATTTTACTTCAATTGAGAAAATTTCTGTAAT